GTTGAGCTGATTGGGTGCCATCGGGCTGAAGTCAAGCCAACTGAAAAAGTTGATGATGACAAAGTGGAACCAAATATACATATTAAAGCAGAGCAGGGGAAAGATCAAGATTTGAAGCCAATGATTGATTTTCTAAAAACAAGTGTTTTGCGCCCTGCTTGGGAGAAGGTGTCTAGTCTAAGCCCTGTGACAAAGCACTATTGGGCACAATGGGAGCAATTAAAGCTTGCAGATGGTATTCTTGTACGGAGATAGCAAACTACCGATGGGAAAGTGGCAAACAGTTATACCGAGGAAGTTACGGGAAGTTGTGCTGCGTCAATCCCATGATAATTTAACAGGAGGACATCTCGGAATTAAGAAGGCATTGAGTCACCTACGACAAAGATTTTACTGGATAGGTATGAGGCGAGATGTGGAAGAATGGTGCAGGACATACAGTACATGTAGTGCTAAAAGGGGACCCAAGCATAAGGGATGCCCACCTTATGAAGAGTTGCCTGAGAATATGTCAGAGTTTGTGGAAGTGTTATCGGAAAGGATGGATGATATTCACCATCAAGTGCGTACAAACTTGAAAACGTCTGCTGATTCGATGAAGTTAACTTATGATAAGGGATCTACTGAAGTCAGCTTTGTACTAGGAGACAAGGTATGGTTGTATAATCCCAGGAAGATCAAAGGGAAGTCTCCTAAGTTGTCTTCTCCATGGGAAGGCCCATATGACATAGTGGATCGTCTCTCAGACGTGACTTTCCGGATAAAATGTGGTCGGCGAGGTAAGCCAAAAGTGGTGCATGCCAACAGGCTTTGGCGTTATCACGGTACAGGACATTTCAGTTGGGATGAATTGGACAACAGAACAAATGACGCGCTGAAGACGTGCCACCTGAGTAAGCCACCATCGAAGAAGAAACTCTACTCAGTTTTGAGAAGGGAAACGGTGAAGCTCTTGATGAAGTTACTACCACTGATGTGACTGGGGTTCATCTGCTTCATCAGTAAATGTCCTATCATCGGTAACACGTGAAGCAGAAGCCAACAAGACGGAGACCAGTACGGAAGAAGATACGTCCCGTAAAATTAAGAGACTTTATTGAATTGTAATTTTGTGTTTGTAATTCTGTACATTTAATTAAGTTATTGTTAATTGTTATTGGTTTATTGTATGTGGTTATTTTTCGGGACGAACAATACTAAGGAAAGGGCAGTGTTGCGTCAGCGAAGTCACATGACTAGTGTCACGCCACGTTTCTAGAACTATCCTGTACCTTGGCGAGTGCTCTAGCATTTACTAGATATAGGGTAGTCTGGTATATAAAAGAGGGTGACAACGTGACGGGATAATAATGTGTGTGTAAATAGTGAGTAACTGAACTGCAGTCAGAAGTATTGTTGACGTTCGTTGATATACCGTTTGTTATAGAGCGACTGTTGAAAATAAGTGTATCGTAAAGTTGTATTCGGAAAGAATAAACCAGTTTTATTAAGTAAGGACTTGTGTCGCTAAAGTTTCGTCGGAACGAATTTACGGGAAATCAATTAACAAACGGAGACGTAACAGTACTAATTACTATTACAAGATGTACTTTACTCTAGACTAAACTCTACTCAACTTGGAAAAGATAAAATTTAGTTGTAACTTTTCACCATAACAAATCCCATTATACCAAAACATTATATTTTATTATTCTTACTGTGATCCAATATGTTATTCGTTTTAATATTTCTCAGAATTTAGAATGTATTGTTGTAAGCTATATTTTCAGTGTTTTAATTTAGATGTTTGCTAGAGGGAGCTGATAATCATGATGATGATGTGATACCTGGAAAGTTCATTAAGATTTAATTATTGTGAAGATTCGTAAAATATATGGGGAGGAGGTACTAATATAATAAATACGAGTAATGACTCATGAATTAGCAGTTATTGAGTATTGAATATTTAATGAGTGTTTCATTTCAGTGTTAGACAATGAGAGTTATCGCGTGGATTCAGTCACTCGATCAATTAGCAAGAAAATTCAATAAGTAAGTTTTGTATTTATCAGTTAGGCGTAGGTAACATTAATATCGTAGCTTCTGCTGAAAATGAGAACGTTGCTTGTGAACTAAGGTCTACAATTTGAATAAAAGTGAACGAAGCCTGTAGCAAACGTTGTGGAATAAATAAATAAATTCATTATCCTTATGTGTGCTGGACTTCGCATTATTTTCACCAAATAATTCGATAGAACCCGCCTATAGATAGAATACGCTACAATAGCATGTATGTATTTTATACTTATATGTCATTACTTCCAAAACTATTTTGAAATAAATGAAGGACAAGCACGCAAGTAACTTTGATATTTTAATACTAATCTTATCATAATGATAATATTGTATTTTTATAGATCAAATTATATTAATTTACTTCTAACCTGAAAGTGTATAATTAGAGGAAGGTAACGCTATCTTGTTCAAATTAGTGAAATTAACGCTCAGTAGCGCCCATCGCCACTGAGTTAAGTTACATAAAGATGGCGACAGAAGATGGTGTTCCGCACATAATTGCAATTTTTCATTTACCAAGGAAAGAGGAGTACGTTTCTTAAAAATTAAAACAAGTGAAATTATAATTTTCACATTCGCGCTGTATAGAGTGAATATCGGCAAATAAAATTTCGAAAATGTGAGCGCCTTGTTTTAGGCCTAGCCTATTTGCCCATTTTGAATAATACGCTCATATGACCTAATTAGAGCATTACGGTTGGGTATATGCAGGATGGACGGTCTGGCAAAATTTAAAGTTTAGGTGTAGCCAGTGTACTTCTAGAACTAACTTAAATATTCTATTTTTTTTTTTTAATGGTATGATTTTTCGCCTTCAATGTAGTCTTGTGTAAACAGTGTAAGAAAAGTTTTTCTTCTTTTTTGTATGTTAATAAGTCTAGTTAATTCACAGAAACCTCCTAATAAAACTTATGTTACTTTTATGGAAACGAGGGAGATTTGACACTCGAAGCAACTTTTTGCGTTCTTTTTAGTTCATATAATTATGTTGATAAATATATCTAATTAACCTATTAATATTCTATACATTGTATTCTTATCAATTTTTCTTTCTCATCAAAGTTACTGCTCAAATGGGTATGTAAAATTAATCACATTTCAAACGCTCATGTATACTCGCCAAATTTGGCCTAGTAAACCTACTTCAATCAGTACTAGTTTTCAGTTGACACAACCAACTACAAGACGGCGCCATAACTTGATATTACAATATTTAATTCTTTAATCAAAAGTATGAATTTGCTCTGTAACCCCAGTTTTTGCATACATGAAGGAATTAGTCCTAAGCACCATTCACCAATTAATTTTTCTATTAGAAATAAACATAATATGGCCACCTAAAGCTAAGACAATCTACAACATTAGTTACGTAACAACGAGAGCATTGAAAAGGGTATTATTTTATGTACAACGCTCTCGAGGTAATAAAACTCTTGAAGCAAATATTTGTGATTAATGGAACTATTCGCGATGTATGTGACTATATGTAATAACGAATGAAAGCGAAAGTGTCAGCCTATTAAATATTTTCTTAATTACTACATGTGGACATGGCCTTGGAAGGAGGCAGAGTACATTCGAACAGCATAAACTCTGATCCTCATGTAATAATTTAACAAATATTGTACAATTGTAAACAAACAAATGCAGGGGAAGGAAGAGATCTAGGAGAACCTGACCCTTCCAGGTCAACAAGACTTAAATCCCAATACGGACGCGCATGTGTGTCATTAGAGAAAGTACACACTTTCCCTAACTATAATCTCCCAGTTTTACCAGATAATTTCTAGGATTGTCAAATTGTCAAACTGGGACTTTCACGGAGTGACATGTAAGAGCTATAAAACAGCTTAAATTACGATAACATACTTTTTACTATTTGCTGATAC